AGCAGGGAATGCGAACTTGACATTCTTTCGAACTTTTGGTGATCATACCTGTTATATTGGATAACTTTTCATTTATAACTGAGTTTAAAAAAAATTGAAGTTGTTTCATCCAGAACTTTTTAGGCGGTCCCCAAGACTGTCTCTATTTTAACTCTAACAGTTCAACACGTTCCCTGCGGCTCATTTTTGATGCCTATAATTTAACATGGGAGCGTGACCACATAGTGGCCATGCCACAAGGGTCTTAAGAGGTGTAAACCCCCCATTTTTTAAATGTTAAGTTTGTGCACTGGGGGGAGGGGAGGGACCAGCCAGTGCTACGACACGGGCCGCAATCAGCGAGAAATAATAAGCAGAATAAGACCCGCGGGCTAAGAAATAAAATAGCGCAATAAATTAAGTGATTTGCGCGGTGTTCCGTGCCGAGTGGCGAGGATCCTCACCCCCCTCCCTCCCTCTTCACCATCTCCTTGAGCAAGGCGACGGAGGCGTGGAGGGAGAGAAGAGAGGGAGGTGGGCTAAGTCACTCCAAACGGCACATACCCTACATTCAGACAACTTTACTGCAGTTTGAAAACTTTTTGAACTCGTATAATTCAACGCGGAAATTCTTGTGCGCCGGGGTGAAAAAAGAAGGCGCGCGTAGGTCCCGGGGCCGCGCCGGGGACCAGGGTGTGCGAGAGGGGAGTGGCGGGGCCAGGCTGAGGTGAAGGGGAAAGTGGCCTGCCGACCCGACGCCCCCCCTCCTCCTCCCCCACTTCCGTTTCCTTCCCCCGGCCGACCTTCTGCACCGCCTCCCTTTTCCTTAATGTGCGCTTATGCACTTGTGCACGTCCTTGGCGCGACAAAAAAAAAGTCAGCCTACACTGCTCTGATTTATTTTTTAAAGTTGGCGCAAATTTTGCTCTCTACCTTGGTGGGGACGACAGAAGGCTGCCGTTTGTTGTTCTCGGAGGGTCGCTCGCTGGGGACCTTATGGGCAAGTGCCTAGAAGCACCCCAGCTCGGCCTGCAGACCTGCGCGGCAGGTCTATCCGCCTCTGGAGACTGCGTTCATGTATCCTGGAATCCCTGGAACGTCGGGGACGTGGACGGCCTGGGGAAGGAGACCTTCGGTAGTCCTCCTCGCGGCCCAGCTGCTCGAGTGGTACGGAACCCCCCCGCCACCGCCGGCCCCGGGAGAGGACAGTTTAGAGTTGCATTTGAAATGCAAACGCGGTCAAGTTTCCCCCACTTCCAAAGTGCTCCCCGCCGCGCCGCTTGCATATGAAACGCAATTAGTATCAGGGCCGACAGTCCGGCCATCAGCAGTGGGCCGGCGCGACCCGAGCGAGCAGCAGCAGACGGCCCAGGTGCAGACCAACCGTCTCACGCCACTGTGTCTGCCGGCCGCGTCCTCTGGGTCTTTGCTAGTACGCACGGGCCGGGCGCGCACGGATGGTGTAATAAGGGATCGTCCGCAGAGACCACGTCCGTTTTTCTCCATGATCTATTCGGCAAGTTACGCGAGCTCCGGCTGCGAGCTCGGCGCCTGCGGGGTTCGGGGTAGACCGGCCCGCAGTACACGCGTGCGCTGCAGGCGAGGTGTTTGCCTACCTACCAGGCGCTCCGAGTGCTTGAAACTGCTAGACTTATTGGCAGGTTCGTAACGGCGAATGCCGGCCGGACATACTTTTTTGCATGATCCCCAAGTGTCTGGCCCCTCTCACGCGGCACAGTCTAACCGACTCCAACACCGTTCGTCTCCAGGCGGCCCGGCCTTGTGCTAGTAGAGCACAAGGATGGTGTTTGAAGTATCTGGCCCCTCGCACGGAGAGAAACGCAAATTTACAGCATACATGGTATGTGATCCGCGCCGTCTTTTTTAAATGCTTATACTGTAACGGATTCGGTTGTGCGCGCGGACTTGACAACCGTCGCTCGCCATGGCGCCTTACGGCCCTCTGCGAGTAGGCAACCCATCCGCACGCATGAATCCGGTGCAACATAAGCAGAAAAAAAAAAGACGGCGCGGATCACCCACCCTGTATTTTGTAAATCGGAAATACAAAATATGGTCGTGAATATTTACGAAGATATTTTTCACAGTGAGCGGGACGGGCCGTGGACTCGGGCTGGCTATTAGTGTCGTGGGGGAAAGGGCGCCACTCTTCCGACTTCTTTGAAAACAATTGCACGAAATAGAAGCAGGGTGAGCGTGGAGGGCGTGGAACGGCCACGGGCGATTTTCCTCTGAATCAAACTCAGCAAATGGTCAGAAGGGCAACCTGTCAGCGTGTACGAGGGAGATCGGAGTATATTGCGGGAACGAGGGAAAGCAGCCCCAGGCGTGTGGGCAGCGGGGACTGGCTGCTGGCAACGTGAAGGTGAAGGGTGAAGGTATATGATGGTATACAGAGGTTCTAGCTGGATCCGAGGGCAAGCGGGGCCGCAAGGGAGCAGGCGCGGCGGGGCAGCGGGTCGTGGTCGTGGTCGGGCAGGGCGAGGTGGGGCGAGGCGAGGCGAGGCGGGGTGGGGCGGGGTAGGGTGGGGTGGGGTTGGGACGGAGCGTCGCGCGCCCCAGTGATCGCACGTACGCATTTAATCACGACCAATAGGTAGGGCAGCAAGGAGAGCGGGCCATTCCCCTACGCGATGCGACCGAAAGGACCGGGGCGCAACCCGGCACGAGCGAGCGAGCGAGAGAGAGAGAGAGAGAGAGAGAGAGAGAGAGAGAGAGAGAGAGAGAGGGGGGGGGGAGGAGGGTCGGAGCAGCCCAGCGGGTAACAGTGAAAGGGGTGGAGAGGGACCCAACCCTAATCCCAACGACAATCCGCGACCATGTTCCGCTCCGGACCGGGGTTCGATTCCAATTAAAGGCTTTTCGGGGCGGGCGGCATTTTTATTTAAAAAGAATAATGTGCCCCCCTCAATTCCCAACCCGTGCCCTACTGCGCTGCCCCCCTCCCCCCTCTTGTCGGCAGGCAGTGTACATCATGACGGGCATGAGGGCCGCGCAGCCCTCGGCGGCGCAGCCGGCCCGACCCCGCCCCGCCCGTGTCCCGCCCTCTCTTTCTTATTCCCGCACCGAGGCGTGGCGGGGGCGGGCGTGGCACGTAGCAGATTCCAATCGGCAGTGACGGAGCGACGTGACCGCTCGCCCAGCCCCGTGACGGCCACGACGACGGCCACGTGCCCCCGCGTCCTCGCCGGCCACGCCGACCTCCACGACGTCGACCTCGCACTAGAGCCCCAACCCGCACGAGGAACCTTCACTGCGCGCCAATCTTTTCAATGGGAACCTCACCGGACGGACCGGCGGGTGCAGCATGACGGGTGACGGACCGAGTTTCCTCTCTCGCGCGGTCAGGAAGACGAAACGAGGCGGGTATAGCAGCATCTCGAGACGTCTGCTGAAGTGAAGCTACTCGTTAAAGCAAGCAGGGTACGTACGTACATCACAAGCTTGGTCGAGAATGTTTCCACCAATTAGTTTTCACAGATTTCAGACAGACCCCCCCTTTCCCTCCCTGCTCCCCCTAGGCCCGGGTCACACGACCCCAGAAGGCAAACCAGCTTTGACAGAAAACGCGAAACCTCTACACAGAGATATAGGATTTCAATTCACTCCGCTAAAAAAATAACAAAAACAAAAATAACAAACAAACGACGTTTATCAGCTTCTCCCGTGCAGTCACAAATTACTTTGAAATTTTGCAGCACTTTGAACACGAAGGATCCTCGGGGGGGGG